AAACAGACTTGTGTCCTATCTGTAGCGACGGTGATACTAAGTGAAGAAGACGAAGAAGAAGAAGAAATGACTATAATATAAGGTCTATCTCTCTCTCTCTCGGATGTACTGTATGTGAGTGAGAAGAGGCAGGCAGGGTGAGAAATAACATAAGAACATAAGAATGGAGGAAACTGCAGCGGGCCTATTGGTCCATACTGGGCAGTCCCATTTACACCCAACCCCTATCGCTCATATATCCATCCAACCTATGTTTGAAGCTATCCAGCGTATTCAAGTTAATGATGATGTTTGGTACCTTGTCCCATTCATCCACTACTCTATTTCCAAACCAATGTTTACCTATTTTGCGCCTAAATCTAAATTTGTCTAATTTAAAACCATTATTACGAGTTCGCTCCTGGTTGGATAGGTTGAGTACCTTTGTAATGTCCCCTTTGTTTAGCCCTGCCTTCCATTTATACACCTCTATCAGGTCGCCCCTCACTCTACGTCTCTCAAGGGAGTGCAAATTAAGATGCTTTAACCTGTCTCTGTACTCAAGGTTCCTAATGCCAGGGATTAGTCTTGTCATTCTCCTCTGAATTCTTTCCAAGGATTCTATATCCATTCTGTAATACGGTGACCAGAACTGAACTGCGTAATCCAAGTGGGGTCTCACAAGCGCAAGATACAGTTTTAGGATGACCTCGCTTGTCTTGTAACTAACACTCCTTTGTATGAACCCAAGTACTTTATTAGCCTTGTTACGAGCAAACACACATTGTTTACTTGGCTTAAGATTCCTACTTATCATTACTCCTATATCTCTCTCGCAGTCGGATTTCTCAATAACATCGTTGTTCATCTGTGAAATAGATGTAGGATAAGGGAAAGAAGGAAGATTGGAGAGTAAGCGAGAGAAGGAGGGGAGTAAGTGAGAGAAGGAGGGGAGTAAGCGAGAGAAGGAGAGTGAGTGAGAGAAGGAGAGTGAGTGAGAGAAGGAGGAAAGAGGGAGGGTTAAACTCTGTGATAATAGAGCGACCTAACTAGGATTCTCAGCTCACAAAGAGATCTCCTATCGCACTCCAGCATGAGATAGATAGATAGATAGATAGATAGATAGATAGATAGATAGATAGATAGTTTATTATTATTACCCCCCCCCCCAGGCCCCGATGTGGGTCAGTGTCCTGTGTCCAGGTAGGTTAATGCCCGTAAAAAAACAAAAAACAAAAACAAAAACAAAATCATAATTATACATTGACGTCATTGCGGTGTATAAATTTTATATAAGTCACTAAGATAACTCAAAATATATGAGCACTAAGATAACTCAAAATATATGAGCACTAAGATAACTCAAAATATATGAGTAATTGTTTTAATATAGTTCTTCTTCTTTGTTATTATTATTATCATTACTCTTATCACTGTCACCTTGAAGTGTGATCAGTAAACTTTGTCCTAAAGAGGCAACACGAACAGATAGTACACACGGCATGAAGATAAATCGTGGTGAGCCTTATCTAACAACCTAGACATCCGATTAAAATTATAACCACTGTACAGGAAAAGGAACTTGTTTTTATATCTATATTAGGCTGATGATTATCTAGAGAGAAAACGCCCTCACCCCCCCTCAGAACACCTCCCTGCCTGTCCCCCCCCACCCCAACCCCTCTCTGCTCCCTGTCTTGAGTGAGTGAGTTTGGTGGTCTTTCATTTAAGGCAAAATTAGACTTTTAAGTAGGATTGGTTTGGTTTGGTTAGGTTTGGTTAGGTTAGGTTAGGTTAGGTTAGGTTAGGTTAGGCCAGGTCAGGTCAGGTTAGGTTTTATATGAAACTATTCATTTAAATGGTTATTTCCCGAAGGTATAGATACATAAAGTTATATCTAATCAGTACTTATCCTTATCTACTGTAACATTATAAAGTGTATCCTCATAAAAAGTAAACAACCACATCATTTTTTTCTCCTCCTGGAAGTAAAGTGTTGGTCGTGCTCCTTCGTAACTCAGCCAATTAAAACTCGTGAATCCGTGAAGAGTCTTATTCTTATTCCCTGATGCCGCTTCGGGTCGCCAGACGGGTACGTGCTACATCAGGGTTGAGCTGAGTCGAGTTACCCGTGATTAAGATTCAAACATTATGTCCGTCCTGTAATCTGGCTTATATTGTGTGTGTGTGTGTGTGTGTGTGTGTGTGTGTGTGTGTGTGTGTGTGTGTGTGTGTGTAAATTAAAAGTAACATTTCTAACCTGATTAACCTAACCTATATAAACATAATATAACCTTACCTAACACAAAGTGGTAACCCAACTCAACCTAACCCAACCCAACGCCAACCTAACGTACCTTAGACATAGTACGGGTAGGTTAGGTTAGGTTATGGTGGCAGAGTCTTCAGTGTAACTCAGTAAATTCTACCATATGTAACCTAATTCCTATTAATGTCTTTTTCTATTGGCCAAAAAAAACTCAGTTGGGTTTCAAAGTTTAATCAGAGGAATGACTTCAAAATGAGTAAAAATTTTATTCTCTCTCTCTCTCTCTCTCTCTCTCTCTCTCTCTCTCTCTCTCTCTCAATAACACATTGGAAACAGCAACGCTATTGATATATCAGTTAGTTCCACACATGGTCAGAGCCTCTCTAAAATTCTACTTAAGAGCCTCATAAACTGTACGCAGAGGCTCCCAAACTCTAACTTCGAACCTCTCCAATTCTCCTCAGAGCCTCCTACATGCTCAGAGCTTCTCAAAGTCACGCAGACTCGCTTTGCATAAATTACTTTACACCTCCTATGATGTGTGATTAATAAGGTTCTGTGAGCGTGATATTGAATATTCCGTCTTGGGACCACTCCTTCCCCCTGTCAGTCTGTCTGTCAGTCTGTTTGTTTGTCTGCTGGTCTGGCTGTCTGTTTGCTTGTTTTTTCGTCTATTAGTATAAGCACTTACCTAACACACACACACACACACACACACACACACACACACACACACACACACACACACATGGTGACTAATACTGTTCACGGTATCCAGGGAGAACTTGGTTGGACACTTGACATCACACACACAGCGTTGAAACTCGTGTGTGTGTGAGAGAGAGATAACACATTTCCGGTTCTCCAGCACAGGAAAGGAGACTTGGTGTAGTTTGATGAGATTGTAAACGTGAGCTAAACAAACAGTACAGTCACGTAAGCTACAGAACGCGCACGTGTGTAAGTGTGTGTGTGTGCGTCTAGGTGCGAATAAGTCTTTGTGTTGGTGTTTCCTGTGTATCGTCTCAACACCTATTGCACTTTGTTGCCTCTCGCTGTTGGTACACAATGGGTGTTGTCCTGCTAACGGTGTTGACAGCCGCTACCCTCGCTGTAGGTGATGGAGTCATACCAAGAGGTGAGTTTACTGTTGGTGTAGAGTGTGTGTGTAGTGGTGTTATGGTGAGGAAGGTGTGTGATGGTGTAGAGTGTGTGTGTAGTGGTGTTATGGTGAGGAAGGTGTGTGATGGTGTAGTGTGTGTGTGTAGTGGTGTTATGGTGAGGAAGGTGTGTGATGGTATAGAGTGTGTGTGTAGTGGTGTTATGGTGAGGAAGGTGTGTGATGGTGTAGTGTGTGTGTGTAGTGGTGTTATGGTGAGGAAGGTGTGATGGAGTGTGTGTGTGTAGTGGTGTTATGGTGAGGAAGGTGTGTGTAGTGTGTGTGTAGTGGTGTGGTGAGGAAGGTGTGTGATGGTATAGAGTGTGTGTGTAGTGGTGTTATGGTGAGGAAGGTGTGTGATGGTGTAGCGTGTGTGTGTAGTGGTGTTATGGTGAGGAAGGTGTGTGATGGTGTAGTGTGTGTGTGTAGTGGTGTTATGGTGAGGAAGGTGTGTGATGGTGTAGTGTGTGTGTGTAGTGGTGTTATGGTGAGGAAGGTGTGTGATGGTATAGAGTGTGTGTGTAGTGGTGTTATGGTGAGGAAGGTGTGTGATGGTGTAGGTGTGTGTGTGTGTGTGTGGTGTTATGGTGAGGAAGGTGTGTGATGGTGTAGTGTGTGTGTAGTGGTGTTATGGTGAGAAGGTGTGTGATGGTATAGAGTGTGTGTGTAGTGGTGTTATGGTGGGGAAGTTGTGTGATGGTATAGAGTGTGTGTGTAGTGGTGTTATGGTGAGGAAGGTGTGTGATGGTGTAGTGTGTGTGTGTAGTGGTGTTATGGTGAGGAAGGTGTGTGATGGTGTAGTGTGTGTGTGTAGTGGTGTTATGGTGAGGAAGGTGTGTGATGGTGTAGTGTGTGTGTGTAGTGGTGTTATGGTGAGGAAGGTGTGTGATGGTGTAGTGTGTGTGTGTGTAGTGGTGTTATGGTGAGGAAGGTGTGTGATGGTGTAGTGGTGTTATGGCCTATAGCCAAGTCTGATTCTGGCGGCCACTACATCACTGAGCCGAGTCAGATTTTTGTTCCGGTCGTATCGCTGTTTTGTGTCAATATTTTTCATAGTGGCGGACAATGTACCTTATTTCCTAGAGGTGGCCCTGCCTCGAAAATTTATACGAAATGATCACTCGTCAACAAGAATCCCTTTGCCATTACTTTGCCGAACTACCCTACTGCTGCTGACTCCCTCTTCAGAAAGACCGCCGAGAACACAGTCCGGCCCTCCAACACAACCTCCACCAATTACTCTCAATAGTCAAGCAACAATGTCTCTCCTTCATTATAATCTAGAGCAGGTTACATTTCCCTCATGTCGGCCTTTTCAACACCCTCTCCTGCGACGTCCACAATCATGACACGGATGTCGTTCTTCTAAAAGAACTATTTCCGAGAGGCGCCCAGTTTCACACCCGTCAGCTTCTTCCTGGTTATGTAATGTATTTCTCAACCATACAAACGGTCTGATAATTTAGGTCAAACAGTCCCTTCAGCACAAACTGGTCAGAATGAGCCGCGACGAGGTCATCCAATATCAACTCCTTCAACGCAACGTGGCAGACAATTACAGTCACCTCTGTAACGTCTATGGTCAAGGACAAACCATCAAACCTGAACATCTCCCAAACCCACTGATAAGTCAATACTACACATGGGTGACGTCACAAATCATCCTGACCCACCCCCCCTGGTCGTTAACCACGCTGCCCGACACATACTAATGGTGTCCTCCGTACTGGCCTTATCAGTGACACGATACAACCACATCGCCAAGACCGTCTCCTACTGGGCCCCAGAGAGGCCACTCTCTCCCGACGTTGCCCCGTGCTTGATCTTTATGCAGAAACGTTCGTCAGATACAACAGCCTGATATAGTTCATACGAGCCATAGTCTGTCGCACAATTCAGTGATGACTCTACAGCACCTTCAGTGAACTCAATTCACCTCCACAAGGTGTAGGTTTTGTACAATCGAAGCGCCAGGGTTGTGGCAACAATGGCTTCCCTAGCTAGCCGAGGCATGCCTCACCCCCCACTCGGCTGGCCTCAAGGCAGGCTATATTTATCTACTAAATATGACTCAGTCCAAAGGAAGAAAATGTTACAACAAATTTTAACTAGTTCATGAGTCCTTACACCTCAGTATTTAGGCTGCCGACTCCCTTGGTGTGCAAATACTCTTAAAAATCAGAAAAAAAACCCTCGGAAAACCAGGACACTCACACTACTGCGTTGTTGAGAAACCCGTTTTCTGTGGTAACTCTATTGTTAAGTTTGTTGACACCAGCAACATGGGCTACATCCGTCTTCACATTTATCGGGAAACCAACAAAAAAAATTCTAACGTTGTCCAAAATCATTATTTTCAAGTTTCTGCACAACCTGGCTTCTGTTTTGCCGCAGGTTAACACCTGTTTTTCCTCAAAAGGGACAGCTCGACTTCTTCGAACTTCGGTCAATTGCGACAGCTGCGACAGGGATTGTCTCTGTGTTCTCGCCGTGCTACGTCTCACGTGTTTAGATGGACGAACGATAATCTTCTTCATAATTTTGTGAGAAAGGAGAGCATGATGTTACACCAACAACATTTCTTAATATGTACTCCGAGTCTGAACAACAAAGCCATATCAATATATATTTGTACAGTTTCATTCGTTACAATAATGCAGCGTCCTGTAATCTAACTTTAATAACAATATTATTCATCGAAATATTTATGTCTATTCACGGTTTATAAGTGTTATTGGCAGTGTAGGTAACAAAAGGCTAAATTCACTCAGACGTTTGTGATTTTTTTTTATTTTTAACTTCAAAGACATAAAATATTTGTATGTTGGCCTCTGTTAGTGGATCATTATGAGATCATGAGTTAGTTCAAAGTTGTGCATCACTTGAACAAAAGTCATGATTTAGCGATATGTTTTAATTTGTGTACTCCTGAAGAGTTACTGTAATGAACAAATTCCACAGCATATTGTTTTCATGTCATAAAAAATAATTGAACCAAATATCGTCATAGTGTAGCACCTGCTTCCCACTTGTCAGCCAATCTGTTGCAACACTGGTTCGAAGACTCAGTTACTTGATCCAGAGGTATATAAACAATGTATAGTGATGTCTGTTTGTCTGACTACTCTTGGGAATTGAACAGTTTATTGAATTATGTCAAAAGTTCTCGTCCTGTGTCATGTGAAACGTTGCCATTCCTCTCTTTCAGACTGTGAGGAGACGAATTTGAACAGCGAGAAACTGATGATCCCGCTCAAAGACTCACTCTACCTCAGTTTCTTTCCCGAGTGCAGATGGATCAGGTTCGTCATCTTTGGCAACAGCTCACACACCTGTTCCTTCAACATTACCGATAGATTCGTAATATTCAACTGTAATAATAACGAAGCGGGGAATTACACCATCATCGAATGCGATAAAGAGGTGTGGTTAGATATTTTCATTGTAGCTTCAAATTCTTCCAACAACGTTACCTTGACTCTCGTGCTCAAGGATAATAAAGTGGCCTATGCCGATTACACAATAAACAGTGGCCTCAGCCATCCCCTCCACATCAACGTGTCAAACAGCACCGGCACGAGGCTGGCTCTCAACTGCCCTCATAAATGTAAGTGTTGATGCATCTCACTCTATAGAGAGGTAGTGTATTACAGTGTGTTACAGGGAGATTATGTTTTACAGTGTGTTACAGGGAGTCTATGTTTTACAGTGTGTTACAGAGAGGTTGTGTATTACAGAGGTGGTGTATTAGTGTGTTACAAAAGTGGTGTATTACAATGAGTTACACAGGTGGGGTACTACAGTGAGTTATAGAGGTGGTGTGTTACAGAGGCGATGGATGCGTTACAGAGGGATAATATTTCACAGGAACTTTAGGTCTTTTAACTGCAGCTGTATATTTAATGTGTTTGAGATAATGAGGAAGCAAACTTACCTCACCTACAGGATATAAAGGCACCGCCATGTTGCCACTTGAACTTATGTGTAGTTGTCACAAACCATAGCTGAAGAAATGGAACACCCCACAACTTATATATCTGGACGACGTTTTTTTTCATTTTTATTGATAATTTTCAGACTGCCTGTTGAGTCCATCACAACTAGACAGGGTAGGAGACGCAGAGAAAGGGATAAGGTCCTTCTACGTCCGAGCGGAAGACAACACGACTATGGTCATTATACACCTAAAGAACAACAAAGTCAACTTCTCGGTCCACCACCTCTCTTCCTGGCAGCGCGTGGATACAGTTTCTTTTGCTTCTGATTTCCGAGTAAATTGATATAAATAATTATCTGTGCATGTGTTATATAAATGATATCAACACAATTAGGAATTACAATTTGCAGTTCTCATGAAGATTAAAAAAAATAATGATTGTTCCACGAATTAATTAAACACTATGATGCTAAACTAACCTAACCTAACCTAAGCACCCCATTTTTTGTTAGATTGTATAACCATTAGGCGAGGTAAGCGAGGGTTTCTCTTTATCGAGAGGTGCTAACTTCCTTCTAATCATGACTCATCGTTTATTCATATAGGTCTGGATTGATGGACAAGAGAAGGTGATGCTGAATGAAGGTAGTTTAGGAACGGAGCTGGGAATTCAGAAAGTGAGGGTGGAGGGCAGAGGTGAACTGAACTTCTGTAACCCCAGCCTTGAGGAAAGTCCTGCGGAAGGTGAGATCTACTACTACTACTAATACTACTAGTTGTGTTGAGTTGGTTAAGCCGCAGATCTATGCGGTATTCAGCGACTGGTACCTCATACCTGCGCTGTTTGCTTTGGGGCCGAGGATCTCGTTCCCCTACTACTACTACTACTACTACTACTACTACTACTACTACTACTACTACTACTACTACTATCTTAGTAATGCAGTAGGAAATTTTATCAATACATCGAGAAACAAAAAATAATATACCTCAGTAATTTATCATTATTAGATCATTATTATTATGTAAAACACGCTCAAATGATGTGAAAATGAGAATGTTAACTGTAAATGATGATAAGTTATCTTACAGGAGACGTGTAAATGATCATGATTTATCTTACAGACAAACATGTGATGTGGAATACGATTACTACATTCGGGGGGTGGGCGGTGGCGTGTGTGGCTGTACTCCTGAGCGTCTGCTTGGCCTGCTGCAAGAGACGGCCGTCTAAAACTAATAGCCGCCACATATCCCCTGACGATAGCGCCTCACTCACCTTAACCAATCTACCTCGGTACCGACCTAAGACTCCCGAAAACAAAGACGAAGATGAACCTGGATCCTCGAGAGGGTCCTTGTCGGCACATGTGTATGACATCATTGAGCCAAGTGACTCGAATCTGGGGTCAGCATTCACCAGAAGGAATTCTCTTTACAACCACCATACATCATACAACACCGGTGAAGAGAAGACTAGCTATCTGGGGTCAGCACACTCTAGCGCCAATAGTATTTACAACCACCTGTCCAACAACACTGGTGAAGAGAAGACTAGCCATCTGGGGTAAGCACACGTCAAAACATTCAATCACAAAGTCTTACACAAAGGTAAACAATTACTTGGTTACAGCTGACAACCAGACGTTCACAGTGTATACATTTATATAGTTGTGCATAAATCAAACATCACGATCAATTTCATAGACTACTTAAAAGCGGTCATTAGCAACTATCAATTAATTGAATGTCGTTGGTAAATGGTATCTTTTGACCCATGGGACAAGTTCCTTTTTTTACTATCGTAGGTAAAATTTATTCATGTTTAATTGTCGTAGGTGAAACTTTAATTGTATTTCAACACCTGTGTTTCACCATCAATGTTTCAACATCTATGCTTCGACATCTTTGCTTCGCCATATGTGCTGTAACATGTGCTTCACCATGTCTGCTTCACCATCTGTCCTTTACCATCTGTCTCACCATTTGTACTTCACCATCTATACTTCACCATATGTGCTTCACCATCTGTGCTTCACCAACTTGTACTTCACCATCTGTTCTTCACCATATGTGCTTCACCATCTGTGCTTCACCAACTTGTACTTCACCATCTGTTCTTCACCATATGTGCTTCACCATCTGTGCTTCACCATTTGTACTTCACCATCTGTACTTCACCATATGTGCTTCACCATCTGTGATTCACCAACTTGTATTTCACCATCTGTGCTTTAGCAATTTAGGTGTTTAAAACCTACACGAGGTGGGTTCACAGGGTGGAGGGAGGGACAAGTTTTACAAGTAAGAAACATTACACGATATACCTCAGTAATTTATCATTATTAGATCATTATTATTATGTAAAACACTAGTGCGTTTACAGGGGCTCGTCAGGTTTGGTGCAGTGTGGCAGTCCTGTGTTTGTTTACACTAGACAGAAGGAAACTGGCAATAGTAAACATACTATGAAATCAAAGTAAAACGATATTAAAACAAATATCTCAGTGATAATGATCTGTGGAATGTTTATATGACGAGCCCCTGTAAACGCACTAGTGAAGGGGACTGTACGTGTTCACCGGTGTGTAGCTGTCTTTAGTATCAAGTTATGAGCTTCTGTTTTCTTATAAATAAATATATAACTATTTACCTATATGTTGTTGCTGTTATTTACCCTGTACATAAACGCTTCCCTGTTCTGTCTATATCGTTATATGTATACAGGGTGTCTAAACAAATGTAGACACACTGCTTTACAGACATTCATGGCATTAACGTGAAAAGTAACAGGCGGAAAACGAGGAGGAGGAGGAGGAGGAGGAGGAGGAGGAGGAGAGGTTAATTCTCATGACATACAACTGCCAGGCACAAGACAGACAGACAGACAGACAGACCCAACGAGAACTTCCAAACCCAAAAGATTGAAAACCAGGATCTCTCAGGGAAGGAGCCGGGTTCAGCTGTATATCTCTTACACACAGGGTCGACAGTTTTTACGGCCCGAGGGAGTTGTCTAAAAATAAATAAATAAATAAAAATAAATAAAAAATCCCACAAAAATACATAAATAACGGACCTTTAACTGTTATTATTATTATTATTATTATTATTATTATTATTATTATTATTATTATTATTATTATTACTATTATTATTATTATTACTATTGTTATTATTACTATTATTATTATTATTTAAAACGTGTCATCAATCACAGCACACAACTCGAACTATAATTATTTCAACAACTTATTATGTACACACACACACACACACACACACACACACACGGTCTCGCTACTCTCCCCACCTCTCACAGATGATACACAAACATCCGGTACACATATCATCGACTGGAGGATACAACAGATATAATGTACTGTATCGTGATTAAGTGTACAGGAAATTTGGCAACTTAAGTTTACAGGTTGAGTACAAGTAATGATTCAAGTGTGGCTAACGGGTACAGTACATAATATAGCTAACAGGTACAGTACATAATATAGCTAACGGGTACAGTACATAATATAGCTAACAGGTACAGTACATAGTATAGCTAACAGGTACAGTACATATATAGCTAACGGGTACAGTACATAATATAGCTAACAGGTACAGTACATAGTATAGCTAACAGGTACAGTACATAATATAGCTAACAGGTACAGTACATAGTTATCAGATTCTCTCCTGGACTCAGCAAATGGTTGTTAATCTAATGATCTTATTTTTTTTTATCTTTTTCAGTTTGATGATACATGAAAGCATTTCCCAAGCGTTAGTATCACAGATGATATTCTTGAGCTTGGTGGAGGAGAGTTTAGAAATTTGCATGTGTAGAATTTAATAGCAATTCTCATCTTTACGTCACAGCTCAAGGGACACATTACACCCCCCCTCGTGTATCGTCGAGCGACAGCCTAATTTTCAGAGCTTGGAGATAATGAGGAAGCCTTAATTACAACGTTTTTGGTGATGGGGTTATCTAGCCTCTCATCCTCAAACAGTCTCTTCTTTTCTTTCACTGGTCATAACAACGAATCCAGTTAAGGCTGCAGTGTGTTCATGTTTACCCTCGACCGTGATGTTTAACCCTCATGTTGGCATCCTAACTGAAGTAAAGTCTGATATTAAGCTTCAACGTTCTACCCTTTGAGGACGATGGTTTAACCCTTTGAGGACGATGGCTTAACCCTTTGAGGACGATGGTTTAACCCTTTGAGGACGATGGTTTAACCCTTTGAGGACGATGGTTTAACCCTTTGAGGACGATGGCTTAACCCTTTGAGGACGATGGCTTAACCCTTTGAGGACGATGGTTTAACCCTTTGAGGACGATGGTTTAACCCTTTGAGGACGATGGGAGGACGATGGTTTAACCCTTTGAGGACGATGGTTTAACCTTTGAGGACGATAACCCTTTGAGGACGATGGTTTAACCCTTTGAGGACGATGGCTTAACCCTTTGAGGACGATGGTTTAACCCTTTGAGGACGATGGCTTAACCCTTTGAGGACGATGGTTTAACCCTTTGAGGACGATGGCTTAACCCTTTGAGGACGATGGTTTAACCCTTTGAGGACGATGGTTTAACCCTTTGAGGGCGATGGTTTAACCCTTTGAGGGCGATGGTCAAATTCTTTGAGTATTACGGTTTAACCCTTTGAGTATTATGTTTTAACCATTTGAGGTCGCAACCCTGTGTTTGGGAAGAAAAAACCATACACAATGCTTTAAATTTTTAAACATGAACTGGACTCGAGTCCAGTGGTACTTAAACTGTGGGACGCGAGCGGTCAGAGAAAAAAGTCTGGTCAGGAACTGAACACGTCTTGTACACGATTGCTCATCCCTCCCACTCTCTAATAACCAAGGGTTGCATCGGGAGGTGGGGGGGGGGGCGTAGGATCTAGGACTTATGCAGAGGGGGACGCGAGGCAAAAAAGTTTAAGAACCACTGCTCTAATCCATGCCTGAGACGATCGTGTGTGTGTGTGAAACAAAGACCAGTTGGACGTAGGAGTCTGTGTTTCTCTGTAGTCATCACGGATCTCTTAGTGTTCTAACTAATCAGGGAACTCTTAAGATTTCCAGCCAATCAAGGGCCCGTTTGGGAATCTCTCGGATTGTTCCAGCCAATCATGGAACTGTTC